AAAAATATTGGATATTACAAGTTGTTTAAACAAATTAAGATTGGATTATCCACTCCTACGCTTAAACTTTGAAAATCAGAAATGTTTGAAAGTCGTAACATCCATATGCCTATGTGTTTGGAATCTTATGCGTTATTTTAAGTTATTAGAATTGCATGCTTAAGTAATTGTCGAGATAATGTCATAAAAACTCTTAAGTTTGACCGAAAATGTCGGTTTTACCTTCCGACGGATTTTTGGTCGTTTATGCCGCAAACCTGTCACTTTTTTTGTTGGTTTTACCATTTTTACTTGTAATAGCAAATTTCCAGGTTACCATAAAATATTATTTGTGAAAACCCCTTAAGTTTATTTTGCAAAAAAAAAAAAACCCTTAAGATTATAAACATATATTAATTTTACCGTACTTATATTATGAAATTAAAACCAAAACATATTTTTACCTTTAATTACGGTAATTTTATATTGGTTCGATATAAACTTTTGATATTTGAATTTTAAAAAATATTTAGTTTTATCTAGTTTTAAATATATTTCTTAATTAATACTTAAAACTTTTCAAAACAAAATTAAAAAACATTTTTTAGCTAATAATTAACTACCCTAAAATAGTTAAACCTTTTAAACATATAAAATATTTATGTTTTTGTTTTAGAAATGATAACATATACAACTATATTTATTTTTATAAAAAAAATATAATATAACATTATTTCTGAAATACAAACTTTTTAAACATATAAAATAATTTTATTTTCTTTAAAAAAATTAATTGCATGGAAATAATGTAACCACATGGTGACCATGATCAACTCTAAAACTGTTTTACGAGCCATAAATATATACAACGAATCCAAAAAATACATGTAAATCACATATAAGAATAAGATTAGACAAACATATAGCACACCAACGACTTATTTGAAAAGAATTTGGGACGTCACAAACACTTAATGAGCATATGTCGAATATCTTTTTGTAGAGTTGTTACAAATCGGATATAAAGAATAATGAATGTCAATATCACAACTAGATAAATTTGTTTTGGTAGGAAAGCGTATTAACCTTACTAATGGGTCATTTGATAGTTGTGAACTGAGTTAGAAGCCGACTGAGTTAGAAGTTCTAATTGAGTTTACTTTGACTAAAACTTGTTGTTTGATTTTGCATCTAACTGCCTGTGTAAAATAACTATATTACCCTTAAACAATATTTTTTATGTTTTTAAATCATTCTTCTCTGTTTATGTTTTCTGTTTTTACACAAATATACACATATTTTTGGCATACACACATATATACACTGATAAGTTCATTAACATCTACACACTACAATACCCTTCTAAAGACAATAAATAAACTTTTCATATAAAAAATTATAAAATGCAAACTTCAAAGTATAACAACATACAATTAAAACCCATCGGCATCGTGTCATCAACAATAAACAATAGAAAATTAATAACAAAAGCTGACCAAAAATACCAATGTGAAGATGTTCTTTTTTGGACCATGATTCACATTTTAACAAAACATACACTTTAAAAGTTCACTCGAACTGCAAGACAAAATTGCTTTTGAGAGATTTGTTTATCTTCACCCACGATTTTGAATGTGCTCTCCACGTGATGACCAAAATGTGAATTCACATGTTTTGAGTTGGTTAGTAATCTTCTACGTAAATTCAAAGATGACCCAAGATGCAATTCAAGTGTTTGAACATATGAGGGTTCATGGCTTAAAACCAAATTTGTCTGCTTAAGATTATTGGTTAAAGAGAGGTTGACAGACACAAATCGTAAATATATTCAACAATCACAATTCAAGTATTTCGGTCTTAGTCTCATAAGATTGAATTGAAAATTCCTCTCAAATCAGCATAAATAGTTCATAAAATCCAAATGCCCCAGTGGATATGAGGAACAAATGATAATTTGATCGAATAGGGTTCCATGAACTTGATTGTAGTCCAAATTGTATAGAGTTTGAATTAGAATCACTCGAATTCCAACCACTGGAAATTGATTGCCAATAAAAAATATCAACATATGAAACATGGACAAGGCTTTGAATTTAACTGCACCATTATAGTTATATATATCATCAATGATCAACATCCACATCGATGAATAGGTGCAACATTTATAAGGGCAAAGATGTAAACAGTTAAAATTGATCCTAATGGCTTTTACAAGCTGTCAATAAAAATAACAAGATTTGAATATGTGAATATTAGAGCATACGACATGATCAAAATTGTTCTCGATATCTCGATTTAGCAATTGGAGCGACGCAGATGGAGGGGAATGAGGAAGATGGTGGCACCGTTTTTTGTTCAGCCCTAACACACACATGGACGACAGTGTAAGTCAAAAGAGGGAGGAGCGACCCAGACGGAGGTAAACTGGGGGGAGGCACCGACGTAGGAGGTGGGAAAAAAGGAATGTGTGGGAAGGAGGGGGCAAATCGGCAGAAAATGATGTTTTAGTCTCGGTTAGCATTATATTTCTATCGGACCAAGTTGAATAATTTTGTGGACCGAGTAAGAGGTATCGACCGAGTTAGGTGCAAATCAAACACTCTAACCGAACCAAGTTAGACAGATCGAACCCGATCAACACCAAATCAAACAGACCCTAAGAGAGATTTTATTCCATTTGGTCTTTATAGGAAGCGACGTCAATTTGAGAATCCTTAATAACATACCCAGACCATTATTAAGATTTATAATCTTAAGGGTTTCTTTGCAAAATATTTGTAAACTTAAGGATTTTTTTTTTTGCATAATATGCTTAAAATGTTAAAGACAAAACTATAAAATTGGTCCTGTGGTTTGCGAAAAACTTTGAATAGGGTCCAAAAAATTTTCAACTTGCATGAAAATTCCAAAATCAAGAATTTCCTTTGATTTTGGTCCAAAAAAACTTGAAAAGACGATTATGCATTTTTATTTTCTTTTTTGTATTTTTTATAATTATTCTAATACTATTTTGACATTACAAATAAAAAGAAAATGAAAGAGTTATCCTCTCTCTCTCTCTCTCTCTCTCTCTCTCTCTCCTCGTCTGCAATTTAAACTAGATACACATTGTTTGATCTCGAGAAGAAATTAACAGAATCAAAACAAAACGAAGATGTGAAGCTAAAATTACGATTGATAGAACAAGTCGTGTTTATCATGGAAGAAGCAGCAGAAGTCGTTTGGGGTCGTTTTTGGAAGCCGAGAATGCTTCTGTTGTGCTCAATATCAACTCATTTAATTTAATCTCAATGGCTTCAATCACAAAGAAGATGGATTTAGGTTAAAACTTGAAAGCTGTATCAAGTTATTGAACACAAAAGATGCTTCAATCGAGAAACTCAATAGAAAAATCACCCAACTTATTGCAGATAATCTTGAAGTTTTAAGTTTGAGAGAAAAATTCAAATCGCTAGAAGAAAAAGTCAACGAATCAGAATATAACCTGAAGAATGCGAATTCAACAAACGAATCGATTGAAGAACATGTAAGAGAAATAGAAAGCATTATAAAGTCATTAAAAGATAAAATTTACACAATAGAAGCTAGGGCTAAAACAACCGAAGGGATGATGGCTCAATTGACCGATTCAAACATTAAATTAACTGACAAATTAGGGTTTCTGAAAGGAAGCCATGAAAGCATCTCCAAGAACAATACTTGAAAAACAATCAAGAGAACGCGAGCTTCAGTTATAAAATGCAAAGGGGTCTTTTGAAGTTGTTCAAGAACAACAAAAATGCAAAGGGGTCTTTTGAAGTTGTTCAAGAACAACAAAACATGTTGTATTCTGTACTGGTGGCGGTGGAATTGAGATCCAACTTTTTTTTATTAATAATTTCTTCATTCACTTATCTCTTCTTCTCAAGAACATCATCTTCAGAACCAAAGAAAAATTGGTAGAGGAGGATGTCGTCCCTGAGCAATCATCTTCATCGTATCAGCTAAATCTAGGTTTGAATATGGATTTTAAGGTTTTTGGGATGATCAGAGAAGATGAATTAGGTGATTGTTTAGAGAGAGAGAGAAAGAGAAAGAGAGAGAGAACGTTGATGGTTGGTGGGGGGATAATTCTTTCATTTTTGGGATGATCAGAGAAGATGAATTAGGTGATTGTTTAGAGAGAGAGAAAGAGAAAGAGAGCACGGTGATGGTTGGTGGGGGGATAATTCTTTCATTTTCTTTTTATTTTTAATGTAGAATAGTATGAGAATAAATATAAAAAATACAAAAAAAATGACATAATCGTCTTTTCAAGTTTTTTTGAACCTTTGGACCTTTCAAGCGAAGAGAACTTTTTGAACCCTATCCACAGTTTTTCGCAAACCACAATGACCAACTTTGTAGTTTTGTCAATGTTAAATGTGATACAAAAAAGATGTAAGGTGAAGAATGTAACATGCTTAATGCCTTGATTACGACCACAATAATCAAAACTTAAAGAAAGTAAGTGCAAAATTTCACAAAATTAAAGGGTCAACATCACCAAAAAAAATCCTCACAAAAATCTAAAGCCAAATATTGTGTGTCAAACATTGATAGAAAGATATGTATGCCTACTTTCTGGTATTTGCAATTATCATGTAAGTTCTACCAAACCATAGGGACCAATTGTGTAATTTTATCTAGCACGTCTAAAAGAAGGAAAACCATAAATTTCAGTTTTGACCATCTCTGACCCAAATTATTACTCGTCCAAACTTCTACAATAATTATGTAGTGCTATTTAAAAAACAAGTTCTTGGATTCAATTTTCTTGTGAGAAAATAAAATAAAGAAGTGAGAAACATTAAATAAGAAAATGATATAAAATAAAATAAAGAAGTGAGAAACATTAAATAAGAAAATGATATAAAATAAAATCCAAAATGACTCAAACCAGAGTTTTGTAGAAACAAATAACAGACGTATGCATATGCATTAACCCAACAAACGTACCATAACATCTGTAACATAAAATCCATTCGCCCACCCCACCCCACCCCACCCCTATTAATTTATATCTATACTCATAATAAACTCAACCAGACTCAATTGACCCACCAAACTGACCCATCACACAAATTCAAAACCCAAACCCGACTGACCCAACTGACCCAAAATGACTCCATTCTTGCAACATCATCTCTTACAGATGCTGACTCAACAAGACCTCTCATTAGGTGATGTTACAATACCTGGTATATGTGAGATACATGATGATGCCTTATGTAGATGAAGCTGCTTCAACTTCTTTCTTCTCTTCTGATTCAGCTGCTTTTTCAGTCTCCTTCACTTCCTCTTTCTCTTTCACTTCTTCTTTCTTTTCATCTCCAACACTCAACTTCTCAAGCAATCCAGCAGCATTTGAAGCATCTTTGTTCTCTTCTTTTCCTTGTTGGGACTCCGCCACTTCTTGAAACGTTTCCATAAACTTCTTGCAATCTATCATACACATTACAGCAATGAATCAATGATATAAACAAAAGAAACACAAATTGTAATTCAAACAAGGGATGATCAGCATGAAAGTTGTGATCATGTGCATGAAATGGAGTGGAAGGATGGGGGACAAGAATGTAGGGAGAAGTCTAAGTTGGCATTCAATACTAGAATGCAACCCACGCCTTTTGTTACAACCCTTAACCAAAAGCATACTAAAGAATATGCAAATGGTGTTTTGTATGATATTGAAGAGGTTGCGAATGTCACAATGTTATAACTTAAACAAGGACAGGGGCCCTCTTCTAGAGATTACCAACGTCTCCCTTCCATTTCACTACCATATCATGCTCAGACCTTTTACTTGAGACATCATATCAATCCCAAATTTCTAGACATATCATAGCTTGGAATTTAAACTCAAATTTGAGTAAAAAGTAATCTGATGCAAATATAATCGAATAGAAGTAAACTTACTGTCAATTGATCCAAATCTAATGCAGAAAAGCTCATCCTTGAGTTCGCCATCAGAAAAATCAGCAGCATGCCACACACATGACTTTTCGTTTCCAGCGTGTTCTTGAACAGTCATGGTAGGTATAACTACATAACATAGCAGATGTGAATCAGCAACGTATCCAGGATTTGGTATAATCAAATCGATAATATGATCTAACAGATTCAGGTAGTTGTCTATCCATACCTAGATGATTGGCGCAGATCTTTAAGGTTTTAGATTGACGCATAACGAGACGAACTTTTCCAGTTTGTTTGTGCTTTAAGAACTTAACTGAACCAGCACCTCGTTCTTTCCACTGGTTTCCATCCTTATCAAACCGATATAACTTGGCTTTACTAAAAATTGAAAATAATAAAAGTTAAATTTCAAAACTAGTAGCATAAACAGCAGAACAAAGTAAGATCAGATCGAAAAGAAAATATTACAGATCGAGAATAGCGTCTTCGTCTTCTTCCCCAGTGGTGACAGCGACTTCTTCAAGTTTGACGATCGGGGCGACCTGTGCTCCGGTGTCTTCGTCTTCGGCTGCGACGGTTTCCTCCTCCTTGTGCTCTGGATCGTTGCTTGCCATTGAAGTTGAAGATTGTAGAGATCGAAAAAGCAAACTGTGTGTGTGACAGTAAGAAGAATGGAAATCGGAGCTTCTGGAGGCAGAACGGCGGCCAAAGGTGAGGGTTACATACAATTATACAAATGGGGGAGTAATGTGTTTTTGTACTTCATATTGGGCTTGCACTTGGGCCTAGTTTTATGATTAAAAGTATGGATTCAATTTGGGTTTAGCTAATTTAGGCCCAATCGTTTTAATAGTTATGTTTATCAATTAGCAATTATTATTTAAAGAAAAAAAAATGTGGATGGAAGTGGTTTGTGTTTACTACATCATTTTCATTTTGACATGTAAACTGATTTATACCATGCCAATGTTTTCGCTCTTATTTGGCTACACATTACAACCAATAAGCGAATAACCCCGTTTGAAAATATTACAATTCCAATTTAGAATATCATTCACCAGTATTTTAGAATATATATTCTTTCAACCGTTCAACTAGTAAAATTAATTTATAAAACTATATAGAGATGTTAGCGTTCACAAAGGTAAAATGGTTATTTACTTACATTCAAATGATTCATCTGGTCCATAAAAGAAACATTAGAGTGGTGGGTATGGGCAACGCCCCACACGCGTTACTAGGAGAAAAAGAAGGAAATGCCGTTAAGAGATGTTATGGTGGTAACGGGAAGCAACGGGGATGCCTTTAACATGGAATAACATGGGAGGGGGGCGGTGTTCATTGGCGTTATTAGGTGTTATTAGGCATAATAACGGGAGTGGGCAACGCCGAGTAGCCTTACTCATCCACACATACATCATTTTTCCGGTTAATACTTTATCTATGCAAACATTTAATGTCTCCACCATTCAGACATTTAATATATTTTAACAAAAGGTGGTTAATTGTGGCATGTTAAAAAAATATAAAAAGCACAAGTTTTATCCTTTTGACTTATTATTTGTTAACAAATACCTGAATTTATAAATTCATTTACCTCTGGAAAGTATCCGATATATGGCTCATTATATGTTCTCTTGATTTGTAGGCCTTCTTAACTTTACATCTAATATCTTTAATCATATCCTTTACCAGGTCCAAGGTGATCCCATATCTCCCATTTACGAAAACAACCCAGTCATCAACATGAACTATGTTAAAAGTGTCGACGTATATATGAATTTTTTATTTTAAAAATGATTCTATATGTAAATGTTTTTAAAGGCAAGCAAATAATTTGGGAAATCTAGAAACTATCAAGCGCCTTTAGCATTTCCACCTCTGATTTTGTCCATTAGAGTTTATTTCGCCGTATCGAAAGAATTGATGGAGATATGCTACAAATAAGAATCAAGATTCATGAAAGTCATGCAAAATTGAACATATAATATGAAAATTGTTTTACTAATAATAGCAATGTACTTACATTTTGTTATCTATATAGGCTTTGTACTTATATCTTACGTTTTGTTATTGTCAGTAAAGAAATATAACTATTTTATTATTGTGGGTGGAGATAATGCAAGTATGTTGCTATAAATATAATGGATAAAAATATGTAGTACATTGCATATGTTAATAAATAAAATATTAATAATTCATCATCAAAATTTAAGAAAGTTTCTTTATATCTTCCGTTTACACTTCCTAGAAAGACATATTTCAGTAAAAGAATTTGAACTGAAGATGATAATAACATAATTCTTCTAAACGTTAGGACGACCTAATAATACAACATACCTAGACAAATTTTCCCGAACATAGAAAATTTGGATTAATTCATAGTTTATCTTGGTGGATTAAGGTAACAAATTAATGTTTACATGAATTCTTTTACATGCTTATTGACCTTCTATTATACTCTAATGTAAAAAAAATCATTGGATGAGATTCATTTAGATATATATATATATATATATATATATATATATATATATATATATATATATATTATGAAAGTAATAGAATATGTAAATTACTTTGAAAAAATCTACTTAATGAGACAAAAAAGGGGAAACATGGAAAGAGAAAGAAAGAGGATGAAGTCGGTATACACTGAAGTCAATATAAAAATATAACCTTGAAAGTCACATCAGGAGGGTGAGACTGCAATACTATATGAAAGCTCGTATCAAATACCCACCAAATGATTCATATGAATCCCATATGAACTCACATCATTCCATATTAATGTTCACAAAACTTATAAAAATGAATACAGTTTGGTTAGTGTACATACCCACCTAAGGATTCACATAAAACACAATAGCCTGTAAATTTTGTTGCAGTTGCATCAGCTCTCTATATTGGTAACCAAAGAAACATAATGTTTCAAAATTTTAAATAAATTTTCTATCATTTTAAATTGAAAGCATGGAATTAGAGTGTTGGAAAATGGGTAGAAGAATTTACCTAGACATATCAAGATCCAGCATACATAAAATGTACTTTTCTTGACCAAAAAGTATGTGTATATCGTATATAAGTACCTACCTAACTTATATAAAAATATACTTTTTTATAACCTAAAAGTATGTGTTTTCGTGTATGAGTGCATAACGGACTTATATAAAATTATATATTTGTAAACTCTACAATTATGTGTTAGTCTACATATAAGTACTATTTCAACTTATATGGTGGTTGACAGTGGTTGTCGGTCGTCGGAAAAGCTCATCGGCAAATATTTTTTTGTCGGAAATGAAGGTTGTCGGAGTAGGGAGGTGGTCGTAGATTTGATTGGAGCAGAAGGGGTGGTCGTCGGCATCATATCGACACAAAATGTGGCTGCCAGCGGTAGCGATGGGCGACGGTTGGCCCGAAACACAGAGAGAGAGAGAGAGAGAGGGATATATATATATATATATATATATATATATATATATATATATATATGTGTGTGTGTGTGGGGGGGGGGGGGGGGGGGAGAGGGGTTGATCCTTTTTCATATTTATAGGGATTTGGTGGCAATGTGGTCCACCAGATTTACGACAGGTGGCACCACTACAATTGCGAGAAGTGGCGCTACCTCGATCCACGTGCGACAGTCCGACAACTTACTTTTTTTTTTTCGAAAAAACTAGTTCGTTGCCTATGAAATTATAGTTCGAAATATGTAAAAATATTCACCTAATAAATAGCATAGCAATGTCAAATAAGCTTTTGAAGTGAGTTATCAGTGGGTTCCCGGTTGCGGCTATTCGACTGTTTTTTGTGAAAGTACAAAACTTTGTGATACGGAAATTTCGAGAGTATAATCAAATACTTCAATATTGTCTGATTCATAAAATGTAAAGGTTTTTACTTAACAAAATGCATAGCCATTCCAATGAATCATTTGAAGATTCGTTTACGGGAGGCCAGTAATGTTTTGTTTCATTCTTATCCACAATGGTGTCAGGTTTTTTCGAGAAAAATGATTTAGTTCCAAAATCATATAATATATTGATTGGTGTTTATGGAAAAAATGTTTAGAACCAAAAATTGACGTTTTAAAGTACCCTACGCAGTGTTCAAAGAGTCGTTTCTGGCAATTCCAGACCGCAAACTGTTATTTAACAGATTGTTTTCTTTAAATGTCTGTAACTTTTGCATTCGGACTCTGTTTTCGACGTTCTTTATATCTACGGAATTGTATTTGCATTTACTATATGTTTAGTGTAATATTTATACATAATAATACTTAATACACAAATCTTGTTTTCAGTGTATCAAATTATTACTTATGTATAATGAATAGTGTTTCTTTGTCAATGATATATGTCCAATGAAGACTTGAGTGGTATTCTGCATGCATTTCTAAGTATAAATACTTTAATTGAATTAAAATAAATGGAATATATTACATTATGTCAATTACATTGAGTGTTTGTGGTAGATTGACCGACGAACATTGACATAATTTCACAGGTTGTAACAATTGGAGAGTCATCATTAACGAACTTCATGGAAATAAGATATTAGAATCTTACCTCCCAAATTCAAAACCCACACTTGTAACAATTGGAGAGTCACCATTACCGGACCTCAACAACTTTATGAAAAAAAGTTAAAAGTAAGAAGGCAAGTTAAGAGTAAATGTAGATCAAACAACCTTTATAACCTGGAATGGCCATATGATGTTACATGATAAGTCCCTTTCATTGTAACATATTGTAATCCAACCCTTCAACATTCCGAGTACATGTTTGTAATTCTAAATCCTCATCGTCTAGTGTACAATTTTGAATGTTGAGTTATTTGCATGCCTAGAAATTAGTCAACGACTGCCCTTCCAACAAAACTATTGATGCTCTTGCTTTTTTGACATAGAAAAGTAAATTTTATTTAATTTTACCAACAAAGCATTAACCTATAGGTAACACTAATTACACTTTCAATCTCTGAATTCAACAGTCATGTGGGGACAAAAGAGCATATACTACGAAAAAAGAAGAAGCGAGTTTTGTTTGTTTTCTTCTTTATCACTTGGTGATTGCATCAGACATGGTTATCATACATGCCTTACTCTTGAATAAAACATACTTAAACTTGGTTCCAAAATTGAAATTCATCGTATCTAAATGTAAATTCAACCACTTACCTTTCAGAAAATATAATTTCACTCCCCTCCAAAACATATGCACCAATCAAACAAAAGAAAACCAAAAACAGTTTGCTATGAATTGAAAGACCTGAAATGGGTTTGAAAATAGGTTCTTGAAGGGGCTCCTGTTAAGACAAACAACAACATAAGTGTGTAGCCTACAATAAAAGAAAAAAATAGCACCAAAAAGACAAAAAAAAATGTAACATTCATAAAAATCATGCCAAATTTAAACTTTTTAAAACATTTCAAAACCAATTGATTATTACAAAACTTGTTTTCAAAATAGTTCAATGTCAGAGTATCCCATAATTAAATCATAAAACCATAGGAGGTGTACGATCACGCCTTCGCCTTCCCGCGATCGTCAGAAGCACCTGAAACAAAATCAACAACTGTAAGCCCGAAGCTTAGTGAGTTCCCCCAAAATACCAACGTCATTCAGATATAACTGTATCATATAAACAAACACAACATGCATAATGAGCCATCAGTCTGACTGGACCGCCTCACAGGTCATCAGTCTATCTGGACCGCTCTC